CTCTCTCTCTCTCTCTCTCTCTCTCTCTCTCTCTCTCTCTCTCTCTCCTCTCAGACTTTTCTTAACCTTCTGGTATAATTGGTATTTTTCATATTAAAGGTCATTAAGTTCCCATGGCATCCTTGCAGGGTCTTTACCATTATCATTGACATCAGTGCCCGTCTTCCTCAGTCAACAACTTTGCAATCTCCAAGTTAGGCCTTAAACCTTCTGAGATATTCATTTCCTCCTTTCCCTGCAACATGCTTCTTAAACCTTCTATGTATTGCCTATGGTCTTAAAATACTATGTCATATCAGCAACATCAACAATGGCCCCTTTGCTAACCCTTCTGAGATCTGAAGAAGCTCCAGAAGGTGATATTTACCCCTTATCAATGACTTGACCCTGGTGTTCTATCAGTGAACAAATTTAGAGATAAAAGGGTTAAGAATAAAAGCAACCCCCCACATTTTAACTATCAGCTCCTCACTAGTAAGAACTTGACCACAGTGCTTTATATAAATATTTAAAGCCTAATAACTTTTTTTTGAGATAGGGTCTTTCTATTTAGCCCTGGGTATCCTGGAACTCTCTACATAGAGGAGGCTGGCCTTGAACTCACAGAGATCCTCCTGCCTCTGCCTCCAGAGTACAGAAATTAAAGGCATATGACTACATCCTGTTTTAAAGTCTACTAATTCTTTTCTTTAAAGACAGGGCTTCTTTGTGTAGCCCTGGCTGTCCTGGAACTCACTCTGTAGACCAGGCTGGCATCAAACTCAGAGATCCACCTGTCTCTGCCTCCCGCATGCTGGGATCAAAGGTGTGTGCAACCACCACCCTGCTAAGAAGTCTTATAACTCTTAAGGCTCCATAATGCCTTATTCTAAGTGGTCAACTCCCTCAACAACTGATGCTATACAATTTACTACTTAACAAGGGAGTGAGATGCTTGCTTATGTATCCAAATATAGACCCACACAAATGAGGTAAGACTAAGTAATTTTGCTTCACTGTATAAAAGAATCTCATTCCCTTTCAGGGGATGATTTTCTCTCTCACAAACTGCCCACTGAATGTCTATTTCTGCCAATTTAATCAATCTTTTCTGCATCTATTCTGGCCTGGTAAGAACATCTGCTGGGCCTCTGGATTTTTACTGTCATTCCCAAAAGCAGTAGGTCAAAATCACTTTAGAATATAAAATAATTAGCATAAAACAAAAATTCCATCTTCATTTAAAATAGCTAATATTAAGCCTATGAATATAAAGCAATATACTTTATTAATGACCATTTGAAATTGAGGTAATTTCTGTTTTCATGCATAATAAAATGTTTATGTATAACTAAAATACAATCAAATAAGATTACTGTATGCAATACTTTATACATGTGGCCTCTTTCCTGGACATTATTGTTACTAGGTACCTAGTGCAATGATGGTGCATGCTAGGCATTAAAAAAATATTTGTTGGAAATGTGAAAGAATGAGCTTTCTGAAGGTTCCATCTGTAGAACAGCTTAAAACTGATCGATTAAATAATCATACATATAAGATACATATTTATAAAAGTATATCTAGTTTTGTTACTATAGTCTGTACATATTGGTGGTTAACAAGAGATGTTACCTTTCAACAACATGAATTTTTAAAAAATAAGAATATATATATGTGTGTGTGTGTGTGTGTGTGTGTCTTTGAAAATTTACAGGCAGTTAACAGTTCTTATAGGGGAGGGGGTCACAAGGTCCCACATTCCCTGAGAAATTATTGGCAGTTAATGGTGGTTGGAAAAGGCAGAGTTTTTTTTTTTACAGTGGTGTAGCCATTCCTAAGTTGTCCACAGTCCCATAGAAAACTCTGTCCATGCTCATGCAAGAAACCCTAATTAAACTCAATTGATGACCAAAACTAAGCAGCTTCATCCATGAAAACAGAGGAGAGAGTAGATGGGAAAAGGGCATCAGTTGGAGAGGAGCAAGAGAAGGCAATTGAGGTATAATCACAATACATTATGTACATACATGAAGTAAAAAATGTATATGTTTTCATCTTTTTAAAAGAGGGGAAAGACCATTAAGAGGAATTTATGTTTCATTCGGCTCTTGAGTTATACTTAGCTATATAAATTCAATCAGCTTGTATTTAACTTTGATAAGAATATATGCCACTAGAATTCAGATGTTCTTTAATTTTTCTGATATATTATTGATAGAGCTCTGTAAAAGGTAACCTACATAACTGTTACGTTAGCTTGTCTTTTTGTGGCCTTACATTTTGATGCAAACATTAAAGTACATGCAGATATTTTCACTGCCTTTTGATATTCTCCAGTCTGACAAATATGCCAAACATCTCAATGGACATAAATAGTTCGCTGTATTAGCCTGTAGTACATAAACTGCTTCAAAGATTTCACTATTACATTAAAAGCATTAGCACTTATCACATTGTAAATTGATTAAATTCCCATACTGAAGTCAAAAGGAAAACTATAAATAACAATCAGTATCTACAATATCTGGATTTCTTCGAATAGAATTCCTCAATTAAATTGTTTTCATATCTTAAAAGTTAATTTTGAAGATTTCTACAAAGATTAGTGTAGTGATAATTTGTTTGTAATCTACCATATAAAGCCTGCCTGACAAGCAGAGAAGCAGAACAGCCAGGCACTAGCTCTAACCTCAACCTCAGATCAAAAGGGCATTCCATTCTTCATGAATAAACTGAATGCTTGCTCTACAAAACCTCAGACTGCATCTATTTCCTCCTGTCTTATATTCCTTTCTCTGATCCTGTCCACATCTCCCTAGTGCTGGGATTAAAGGCATGGGATCCCAAAATCTGGAATCACCTTTGTGTGAGCTCTGTTTCCCTTTTACACAGAATGAATCTCGTGTAGCCCAGGGTGGTCTTGAACTCACAGAGATCAATCTGCCTCTGTCTGCCAAGTACTGAAACTAAATGTATATGCCACCACTGCCTGGTCTCTATGGCTAACTAGTGGCTTAGCTCTGCACTTGGAACTTCAGGTAAGCTTTATTTGTTAGATTACAAACAAAGTATCACTACAGATTAGCAAGATTATCTTTCATGCTGTTTATACTAAACTCCTATGAGGAATATTTTAAGAGTATTCTGTCTTGCAAGTGGTAAGACATAATACTGAATTGCTAGTGATTTTACAGTAATATTTAGGTTCATTCAATCTGATTATAAGATAAACACACATCTAATTCTACTTTAACAAACCTTGAATGTGCTGAAAGGACCCATCATCAGCTTTTATCGTAAGGACCTCTCCAGGGTTAACTTGAACGATTACAGTCTAGAAATAGATAATTATTTAATGACACACTTTTTTTGTAAATCTATGGAAAAGTCATTATTATTTTTTGAATAATATTCAGGCTCCCTAATTATGGAGATTTCAAAATGCTCAAGGAGAAGAATACAATTGTGTTAATGGGCACTTAGGAGAAATTCAATACCCCTTGGTAAGAACAGGTTACTCTTCCACCAAAGTAAAACTTAATAAGGTCATAGAAAACAGGTGCATTGAGGTGGAAAGACAGTATTCTCTTCTGCATTTACCCTCCCCCTCCCCGAACAAAAACTCTACAAACAAATAAACAAAATCTCAGAAAATAAAATTTATCTGGAGGTAAAATTCAGACATACTTGAGCCCAGTATTGGGAACAAGAAGGCCAGGTATTATATATCTTGGGTTGATTCATGATGTGTGAATAATTAGGGTATGCTGCCATGGCGTTGGGGTCCAGAATGTAATTCTCCATCTAAAAAAAAGTAATTTTGATTACAATTACAATTTTTCATTTTTAGAAATAAAACTTTTTATTATACACTAATAATAAAATGAACATAATTTTGACATTTTCATGTATGCATATATCTCACTCATTTCTGTCCATGATGCTATGCTAAAGAACCATGTTTGCTTTTGTTTTTTAATTCAAGGGACAAAACGTCCATCATCTTTTTACATTATATGCTAAGTTAGGCCATCTATTGAATCTCCTAAAGGGGCAAATTCTAAATCTGAATTATACATTTTAATTTCTAGAAACCAATCTTACTCATAGAAGTTATTGCTATTCAAATACAATACTTCCAATTATTAGATAGCTGAACTCCTAACTGAATGAGTATGAAGGAACATTAGTCTTCAATAGACCCGCAATTTCAAAAGATACACCCTATGAAACTATAGGTAGTAGAAACTTTACTATATAGGACTAGGCCTTTTAAGTTGTGGAAAAGAGTATTAAAAAACAGTCAAATTAATTCAAAAGAAAATTTTATGTAGGATAAGCTAGTATTGAATGTCTTAAGTGATTTTCAAAAGGCCCACAAGGAACACAACCAACGCTAAAAAGACAAAAAACAACAATAAAAAAGCTTCCCAAGTAAGTGACCATAAAAGTGACAAATAATCTAAATGAAAACCAGCGCCAGATTTCATAACATTTAAACCAGTTATAATGTAAATAAAAAGAAGCAAAACTTCTCTTACAGGGCACATGGGATCTCCATTGATAATTGGCACTGCCGGAGGTATTTCAGAAAGAAAAGGTGCAAGTTGATGTTCCATTGAGTCTAAAAGGATTGACTGTCACATTAATTGATACTTCTAAAACAAACAAACAAATAAACAGAAACTTACAGATTAATTTAATGTAGTCAGAAATCACGTTTTTAAATGGCAAAACATGACAAGATACTTCTGAGAAAATCCATCTTAATTTTCCTTTCTAGGAATGTCTGACTTAAGCAGAATTACATAAAGACATCATTTACAGTCATTGATCTTCATAAATGACAGAACCAAGTGTGGAGTTGGCAGTTTCGGCTTGATTGTTTATTCTTCGTTCATGTGAAGACAAATAAAGATAGCTCATTAAACAACATGAATAAGGATTTGTTAAACAAGTCATTGTCTATTTGATCTACTTACATTCAGTTCAACCAACTGATTTTCAATTTATGACATTAGTTGTAAGATTTTACATTGTAAAAATAGCTATAAGAACTAATTGGTTTCCATTAATTATGTTAGAAATACATAAGTTTGCCTTAGTTGCCTTGGACACTAAACCAAACAGCTCAAATCTAACGTAAAAATTTAAAACCAAATTTTAAACTTTGATTTCTTTCCTGATTGGAATACTTCAGCTATAGATGACACTAAACAACAAAATAAACACTTAAGTGAAAAACAGAAAGGAAAATGTGATTACTTTCAAGATATAAAGAAGATGCTCAGGACAGAACCTCTCTGGAGTGAGGCAAGTCTTGAAATGAGGGTCTTGTGACATAGCCCTTTAGTAAAAGAACACTCATATGTCATAATTTGGCGACATCATTTCCTTTGCAAGTCTTTAACATGGTCTTAGGAAACTTCTTATTTGTGAATATTGCTTCACCACAAATTAAAGTTAAGTAATTTGAAAAGATAACTGTTTTGGAATCATGAAGAAATCTGGATTGTATCTATCAGGAGAAAACACACATTTTTTAAAGTTTGAGGGATAGTGAAACGTCACCCCTTTAAGAGCCTAAAATGGCTCCTCAGGAGTGCCAAGCAACTCACATTATTCTAAATACCTTTTGTAATCAATGTATTGGCTCAATTTAGGGCAAAACTCATTGCTTTGTGACCTATTCTGATGGCTAGATTGATCAACTTTCAATACCATTTAAAATTAGAATCTCTCTCTCTCTCTCTCTCTCTCTTTCTCTCCCTTTCCCTCCCCCTCTCTCCAACCCTCTCCTCTCTCTCTTACTCCATTCTCCTCCCTCCTATATCCATTCCTCTCTTCTCTCCTCTTCTTTCCTTTCTTTACCTCCCCATTCTTTATCTCCTCTCTCTCCCCCTCGTCTCTCTTCCTTTCTCTCCTTTCTTCTCCTCTTTCCTCTCTCTGCATCTTCTTTCTCTCTCTCTCTCCTTAGTTTCCTTTCTCTCCTCTTTCCTTCTTTTACTGCCTTTCTCAACTTCTCTTCTTTTTCACTCCCAGTGTATCAAATTTCATCAGAACTTCCAATCATTTGTGCACAATCATCTTAAATTGATACCATTTATTGAATTTTTTGGTTTGTGGATGCCATCCATATGCCAACAGATTCACAGTGGACAGACTGAGAGAGAGAACTAACTACTCTTCAGTACAAATTGACAAAGGAGCTTTACTTGTTCTGAAATTATAATTGGCATTATATTCTCTAAAATAGAAACATCTGAAAATTCTTTTCCCATAACAAACATCACATGGATCCAATTCCCTTTTTGGACTTTTGAACCTTTAATTCTTATAAATTAAGTTCTCTCTATTAGGTAAGGGATCCAGTTCCCTTTTACAGCTTGACTTGCGTTTTTCCTTATAACTTTATAATTAATTTCATAATTAAAAATTAGCTATTAAACTCATGGTTAGATCTTCAATATCTTTAAGATAGTATGACTGTTTTGGGTCTTGAGAGATAGCTCAGAGCTTAGAAGCACTGACTGCTCTTCCAGAGGAACTCGGTTCAATTCCCAGCACCCGCATGGCAGCTTCAACCATCTGTAACTCTAGATCCAAGTGACCCAATGCCTTCTTCTGGCCTCCATGGGCACTAGGCCAGCGCATAGTGTACAGATATACATAGAGACAAAATATTCACACACACACACATAAAATAAAATGTTAATGAGAAATCAAGATACTATGACTATTTATATAATCACCACCAAAATTTAATCATAATAATAACAAAATTATTTTAATGAGGACACACTTATCCTTTTTAGTACACTCAAAATATCAACAAAGGGTAAAAGCTCTAGGACTGAACTTCCACAGTTATTTAAGTATTTTTACAAGCACAAGTCAGCTAAAGGAATAAGAACATATACCTTTCCTATCAACAACATAGTTTAACAACTGTTTTAAATACAGCTTCCATCCATTAGGTACAAGTAAGATAAATAAGTACACAATGAAGGACAATTTGACAAAGGCTTGGTTGCCAAGGAGTTTTTTTCTCATGTAGAGAATTTTTAGGGTTGCTTCATTAAATACCTCTCACCCAACATAGTCTATTTTCCACCTCATTAAGTAGGTCAATTAACTATAAGGTGAAGTACCTTTTTCAATGAAGCTTTAATAGTTTTGCTTTTTAGGCTCTTGAAAGTTCTTGAAAAATAATCCTATGCTTTCATTTTTCTGTTCCATTTTCCTCACAAATTTACCATTACTCTGGTACCGCTTTGTGCTGTAATTGGCCTATGAATGTAATGCGTTAACTGCAAGAGCTCTAAAGAAGAAAAAATGCTGGGAGTGGCATTTGTGCAACTACAAATTCCCTGAAATTCATTTCAATAAATTCACTGCGTATGAACAAAATTCATTAACTGTGACTGAAAAAAGGAACTGCAAACCACAGAGGAACAATAAGCTTTTTAGAAGCAAAAAGCTTTAGAAATTTATGAGAAAATGTTAAAATATACACATTAAGGCTTCTTAGCTGATTTTATACGTTTAATTTCAAGGTGGTTCTAGACTCAAGCATTTTCGAACTCAGAAGTTCAGAAACAATTACATTTAAAAAGTGCAGATGCTCTATTGCATGTTGTAATATGGAATTTTTTTTTTACTTTTTACTACATAAATGTTGAAGCTAAATTAAGTGACTTGACACTTTTACCATAAATATCAAATGCAGCAAAGGGAAGGATCACAGGGAAACACTCTGCCTTGGTAATTGCTACAGTTCAATTCAATGAATGATCTGATAGAAACAATCACTGTTATTTTATTGTAAGGAAATAAAGATATTTAAAATAGGCAGCTTTGACATCTGAATCTGTGTCTACTCTAACAAGTAGAATTCTTCAGAAGTCATTTATAAACACTTTATTCTAGGCCATGTGTGAGTAATTTCAAAAGGAACACATGAACCTTAGACATTATTTTTCAATTTTTGTTGAAAAGCAGAAAAGTGTATATTCTGTGTGCAGCAACATGGTTAGGAACTGGTGCTTGTAAATACTGACTGCCATGAATGGAAAGACATTATTTCAAAAGATAGTTTTAGAGTTTTTTCTTGCCCTAGGTTTTCAGTTGAAATTTATCTTTTGACTTTACATAAAGCACACTGTGTATTTCTTTGATATTCATATTAATCATGCAGGGAATTGGTAGAGCTTACTCAATCTCGGTGAAAGAGAACAAGTGATGCTATTATTTTAGTAGTTCTGTTTCACGTCAAAGAAGGTAGGGTGCATTGTTTTATAGCAATGTCTGATGGTCAAAAGACCTGGGGTCAAATTCTTGCTTTGCCCCTTATTAGGCAAGTTCTGTTTTGTTTGTATTCTATACAGCTGAGTGCTTAGCAGGCACTTTAGAAATGTTGAATGAAGGCTGGACGTTTTTACCTGCAAATACCCTCCTCTAATAGGCAATCACTGGAAAATAGCCCCAATTACAACGTTTTCAAAATTAAATGCCCCATTTCCAAAGAAAAAAAGCATTGGCTAAATAATAGAGTTTAATATATAAATGAATTATTACCTTGAGGATCACTAGTTTCCCCTATGCATAACATGAACAGATGGGCAAGCTTCAAATTAAAAAATGATAATTACCAATTTAGAGATAAAACCATTTCTTTAGCAATCACTCAAGGTATTTGCTATTTTATATAGCTAATATCAGAGAAAACTATTTACATCAAAAAACAAAGTTCTCTAATATTACCTATTGAAAGTGAATTCCAACTGCATTTTCTCATGGATATAACAGTTGGATCAGGAAACATACTCTGATGATGGTAACCTCAGGAATAATGCAAAATTACTAATATCTTTAGGTCTTCATCAAATAAGGCCAAAAGGGTCAATCAACATCAAATGACATAGCTGGATCTTATCTCCAGGCTCCTTTCAAGTCAACCCTAGTTGTCACTGTTTTAAAGGACCAGTTTAATTCTGAAGGTGAGGTTGAAGTCCCCACCCAATGTAAGACAATATTTACTAGATAGTCTCTGTTAAATATCACCATTAGAAATACATAGCATTTTGATTGACATATCAAATTTATACATCATATTTATACTTATGAGGTAAAATGGGAAGTTTTAATTAGTATATTAAAATCAGCTCCTAGGAACCAGTATGACCATTACTTTAAACTTTTATCATTTTTATGATGAGTACCCTCATATTCCTTCTATTTTGAGATACATAATGCAATATTATTAATTGTATTCATCCTGTTGTACACCATATTATTAACTCACAAAGACATATGCTTATTTTGCCGCAAATTACTCCTCAAAATATTGCAAGAAGTTTAATTGAATAAAACAAACGGAAAGGGGTTGGGAAGATAGCACAATGGGTAACGTGCCTTTAGTGCAAACAGGAGGACCTGAGGTCAGAATCACAGCTTCCATTTAATGACCAGGCACAGAGTACATGCTTAGGATCCCAGAACTTTGAGAATGAGTGGGTGGATTCCTGAGGCTTGTTGGCTAGCCAATCTATTGATCAGGAAGCTGCAGGTTCAAACATAGAACACATCTCAAAAAAAAAAAAAAATAAGGTGGAGAGATTTTGAGAAAGGAACATCGACCTCTGGTCTGCATATGTACTTTACTGTGTATGAGTGTACCTACATACACCTACACACTCACACATAGACACATACAAGACAAATATTAAAAATAGATGAAACAGCAATAATAACAGAAAATTCTAAGCACCATTCTAAGCATTATTCACACATAAAGCAATATAATCCTTACAATAGCACATGAAGCAGGCTTTTTACTATACTGCATTAGTGCTGAGTATCTAACATGATTATCATAATGTCTGATAATGTGTGAAACCAGGGAAATGCATAGATTTTTCTACTGTCATCCACACATCTGCCTGGAAGTTTCAATGCTTAAATTCTTTTGAGGAAGGTCATTTAGCTGTGTTATTCCTTGACTGCCTCCTCCTCTTCCTATCTTGCTTCTCCTTTGTAGGGCTGAGGGTCAAAGCCTGGGTCTTGCACATATTGAGCAAATGGTCTACCATTGAGCTACATTCCCAGTTAAGACAAAAGGGCACATAGTGTAAGAATTTCATGACTTCTCTATCTTGTTCCACCCACATAATCTGGTGACCAAAACAGAATTGACTCAAGATCAGTTACTTTTCAGTTTATCCTCTAACCCAATTTACCTTGCAACCTATAATCTCTATATTTATTACTTAATCCATACACAGTCTGTGCAGTCTTAACTTTGGATTTTCACTCTTGCATAGTCCCC